CTTAAAATTTTCAGTGCCAAACTTCCCCTATATTTTTTTTTTTAATTAACTGGATCTCCAAGCACTGGCAGTGCATGTGTAAGATGGGGAAACAGCTCTCATTGTTTGAACACTGTTTGGAGTAAATCAAATGTCTCCTAGATTGTAAACTCAAAAGAGCAGGGCCCTCAATCCCCTCATGTTTTGCATTGTATTGGTATTGTTCTGTCACATATTCTGTCCCCCTTTGTAATGTACAGCGCTGAGCGAACTATTGGCGCTTTATAAATACTGTATAATAATATTAATAATAATGTTTTGACTGACATTCTGCGGTTTAGCCACAAGATATCACTGTTTTTCTAACACAGCCTCAGACTGCATAGATACTTCTTTATTCATGAAGAGGTGGGGTTTTCACACAGGAGTGGAGTGAACAGGAAGAGGAGACAGCAGCCATGCTTTGGAGAATGGGGCAGTGTGTGAGCTGAGAATCCGATGCCATCCAGGTGTGAGAACATTCCTCCGTAATCAGAAATGCAGCTAAGTGAAGCTGATGGTGTTCAAGACGCTGATCCTGTTCAGAGAAAGGAAGATTGCTGCCAGGAATGCTGATGAGATTGCTGCTTGTTGGAGAGACATTTGTTCTGTTCAGAGTCACCAGCGGATACAAAGCAGACCAGGGTCGGTAAGATTGTGCACGCACCTCATTTCAGTGTTGGCGCCTTGAGACTGAGACAGGCCTATAGTTAGTTAGTTAGGGTCTCTGTTTGTGTCAGGCCACAAGTGTTGTTACTGATCATTGGAAGGACTCCACAACTTAAAGTGACATTTCACATTGGAGAGCTGATAAAATCTCGCAAACTCAAGCCAGACTGGCGTTTTGCTCAGAGGGAATACTCAGGCACGTGCTACAGGACCAGTTACGGGAGGGGGAATACTGTAGATTTGTGTAAGATTGTAAGCTGTTGTGCTGCACCGCAGGCTAGCCCTACCGTACACCCATACACTGATTCCTGCTCTGTAGGGTGATAACAGGTAAGGTGTGGCAGCTTAGTTGTGCCCCCCAGTAGGTAAATTACTTCACTTTCTACCTTCATCCATCAGAAGGCGCCGTGCTGTGCAGCACAAGGGTCTCAGCCTTTGGGCTGGGTGTATGTAAATTTATTGTATGTTTCCAGCATTTGTGGTTGTGCTTATTTGCCACATCTAATTTGGGGTTGCTTTCCTCGTTCGTAACTTCACTGTATCCTGGGGAGCCCACCCTGGTACACAGCTTGCACATGCACTGATGTAATTGTGGACATTTACTAGTTTGGATGTTCTCCTCTTCCTGCAGATCCAAAGAACTCCCTTGGAGATTTAAGGAGTAGAGGTGATATTAATCAATCACCTTTGGCCCAAGGGGCCATGATTTCTACTCCTGTAGAGCCTTCGGATAGAAGAACCCTGCCTGCTATTGAGCAGCATAGACTTACTTCAGCAGGGATCACTGTATCATTTTTTTCTAGAATGACTGGGCCTAGCGGCATGGAGGTTGAGTGGCAAAAATTGAGGTTGTGTAGGAGGTTCGGTAGCAGTAATCGAAAACTATGCTCCAAGCTAGGAAATGTTGTATACTTACTTTAATGTCTGGGAAAAATTTATATCTTTTGCAAAAGGAAAGTCTGAAAATTATTTCGATCCGATGTTCTCTTTGATCCTTGATTTTCTTTATTCGGGAGTTGACCTCAGTCTCCCGTACATTACTATAAAGGTACAAGTCTCTGCGTTATCTTCCCTAACAGGAGCTTTATGTGCTTTGAATATGTTAGTCATTTGGTTTCTAAAAGCTCTCTTGAAGATTAGTCTTTTGAAGAAAAAGCTCTTAGCTTCAAGCTCATAGCTCAAGAGAACCATGCTGTATTAGGATTGCAGGTAAGGCAATTTTAGGATCTTCATCAGAGTTATTTCCAAAAGTGGGATTGAAGTTTCACTGGGACATGGAGGATGACTTTGCTAGTCTTTTTTTCCTGAACCTAAGAACTGAACCAAAGAGGAAAGGTTGTGGTGTACCCTTCATATGGTCTGTCTCACTTTCACCTACCTGAGAAGAACAGTCCCTATCTGTCCATCGGAAAGATTCTTCATTCTGCCTTAGGGTAAAATTAAGGGTCAGGTTGCTTCATCAAGGACTATAGCATCCTGGATAGCACAAGCCATGTAGATATACTATAAAGCTAAGGTGGTTTCCTCTCCTCCAAAGATAGCAGCACCTTCAACCAGAGCAATGGTGACTTCATGGGCCTCATGGATACGGATCTTGTTGGACATTAGTTGCAAGTTGGCAAGCTGATCATTCTCTTCATTAAAGTAAAAAACCTTCAATGCTCAGCCCTAGTGGTGTATTTAGATTTTGTACTGCCCTAGGCAACACAAAAATGTTGCCCCCCCCCAAAAAAAAATGAGAGAGCATGAGAGTCAATGGGTGTGTGTGTGTATGTGTATATGATTATCTCTCTCTCCCTTTCTTTCTCATCTCTCTCCCTCTCTTCCCTCTCTCTTCCTTTCCCTCTCTCTCTCCCCCCCTCCCCCCCCCCTCTCTTCTCCCCCCCCCTCTCTCTCTCTTCCCTCTCTCCCCCCTTTCTCTCTCCTCTCTCTCTTCCCTCTCTCTCCGGCTCCCTCTCTCTTCCTCTCTCTCTCCTCTCTCTCTTCCCCTCTCTCTCCCCCTCTCTCCTCTCTCTCTCTCCCTCTCTCTCTCCTCTCTCTCTCCTCTCTTTCCCTCTCTCTCTCCTCTCTCTCTTCCCTCTTTCTCTCCTCTCTCTCTCCTCTCTCTCTCCCTCTCTCTCTTCCCTCTTTCTCTTCCCTCTCTCTCTCCTCTCTCTCTTCCCTCTTCCCTCTTCTCTCCTCTCTCTCTTCCCCCCCTCTCTTCTCTCTCTCCTCTCTCTCTCTCCTCTCTCTCTCTCTCTCTCTTTCCTCTCTTCCCTCTTTCTCTTCTCTCTCTCCTCTCTCTCTTTCCCTCTTTCTCTTCTCTCTCTCTCCTCTCTCTCTCTCTTCCCTCTTTCTCTTATTTCTCTCTCTCTCTCTCTCTCTCCTCTCTCTCTTCCCTCTCTCTCCTCTCTCTCTCTCTCTCTTCCCCCTCTCTCTCCTCTCTCTCTCTCCTCTCTCTTTCCCTCTCTCTCCTCTCTCTTCCCTCTCTCTCCTCTCTCTTCTCTCTCCTCTCCTCATCACTCTCTTCCCTCTCTCTCTCTCCCACCCTTCTCTCTCTCTCTTCCCTCTCTCTCTCTTTCCCCATCTCTCTCTTCCCTCTCTCTCTCTTCTCCCATCTCTCTTCCCCCCTCTCTCTCTTTCCCCATCTCTCTCTCTTCCTCTCTCTCTCTCTCTTCCCCATCTCTCTCTTCCCTCTCTCTCTCTTTCCCCCCATCTCTCTCTTCCCTCTCTCTCTCTTTCCCCATCTCTCTCTTTCCTCTCTCTCTCTTTCCCCATCTCTCTCTTTCCCCATCTCTCTCTTCCCCCATCTCTCTCTTCCCCCTCTCTCTCTTTCCCCCATCTCTCTCTTCCCCTTTCTCTTCCCTCTCTCCCCTCTCTCTCTTTCCCCATCTCTCTCTTCTCCCATCTCTCTCTCTCTCTCTCTCCCATCTCTCTCTTCCCTCTCTTTCTTTCTCTCCCTCTCTGTCCCCTTTCTCTCTCTCTCTCTTTCCGCTCTCTCTTTTCCCTCGCTCCCCTCTTTTTTCTCTCTCTCTTTCCCTCTTTTTCTCTCTCTCTATTCCCTCTTTTTCTCTCTTCCCTCTTTTTCTCTCTCTCTTTCCCTCTTTTTCTCTCTCTCTTCCCTCTTCTTCCCCTCTTTTTCTCTCTCTCTTCTCTCTTTTTCTCTCTCTCCTCTCTCTCTCTCTTCCCTCTTTCTCTCTCTCTGCCACCCCCCTAAAAATTGCCACCCTAGGCAAATGCCTTGTTTGCCTTGCTGTAGATACGCCACTGCTCAGCCCCCCTTATACTTAGCTGATCCAGCGTTGTGCCTGAGAGTCGTTGCTCTTTCCTAACAAGGCAGATTGATAGCAGCGGCAGCCATTAGCTCTTGCTGACAATCACAGCCCGTAAGGAGGGAGCGGGGCGCGGGTCCAAGCTTGGCTGTGTGTGTTTATAGATACAGACAACGCAGCTCGGGATTGAACCCGTACGAGTGCCCCCATAGGAAGAAGCCTCCTCCTATTGAGGCACTCTGCAGAGGAAGAGGCAGGAGCACCAGCGGAGGGGATCAGGTCTGATTTTTGTAAACTATTAAATAGAACACATAGGTATAACGTTTATTTAAATACGTTTAGAATCAGTTTACTATGCCATCTGGATATATTTCTTGATACTGTGTATTAAAGCGGAATTCCAGCCACACTGTGAAAAAATAAGTCAGCAGATACAAAAACTGGAACCGCTGACTTTTAAAAAAATAGCCACTTACCTGTGTCACGATACTGCAGTCCATTTTACCAGCCGTCTGGTGTTCCAGGTGCCAGCATCTTTAGTATGGGCACCCGGCTGTAACAGCTTGCGACTTCACAGTCGGGTGCCCATTGTGCATGCGTGAGAGGCGCTACTCTTCTGTAGTCTTCTGGGAACTGTCACGTGTCCCGGAAGATTACGGGAAGAGGGGGGGGGGGGGACAACTTCCATTTCTGATTGCCTAGGAGATTGCAGCGGAAGTGGGAGCGGGTACCTGTCAATTTCAGGTACCTGCTCCCCCTCCACTCCCCAAAGGTGCCAATCCTTAATGGGGAGTGGGGGATCAGTCTTTAACTACCTGCCGACCGCAGATAGCCGAGTGACGGCTAAACTGCGGCCGGCCAGTTCTGGGGGACGTCATATGACGTCCCCCCAGAACGCGCTCTCCTGCGCGCCCCAGGGGGCGCGCACCCGGCGATCTCCGTGATCGCTGTGTCCTACGGACACAGCTGATCATGAGATGTGGTAAAAGGCCAATCATACCGGCCTTTTACCACATGATCAGCGGTGTCCAATGACACGCTGATCACAGGGAAATGCAAGTGCCGGTTCCTCACGCTGTCAGATCGTGAGGAAAGTACTGCCGAGAACCGGCAGTTGTCAGAGCAGGGATCGGCACCGATCATCAGGGCAGTGATGATCAGTGCCCTGATGATTGGTGCCCAGCAGTGCCACCCACAAGTTCCGCCCACCTGTGCCCAGCAGTGCGCCCTAGCTCCACCCACCTGTGCCCAGCAGATCCTGTGCCCAGCAGATGCACCCACCTGTGCCACTCTGCAGTGTCACCCACCTGTGCCCAGAAGTGCCACCTACCTGTGCCCAGCAGTGCCACAGTGCCACCCACCTGTGCCCACCAGTGCCACCCACCTGTGCCCAGCAGTGCCACCCACCTGTGCCCACCCACCTGTGCCCACCAGTGCCACCCACCTGTGCCCACCAGTGCCACCCACCTGTGCCCACCCACCAGTGCTGCCCACCAGTGCCACCCACCAGTGCAGCCCAGCAGTGCTGCCAGTCAGTGCCACCAGTCAGTGCCCAGCGGTTGTGCCAGTCAGTGCCACCAGTCAGTGCCCAGCAGTGATGCCAGTCAGTGCCATCTATCAG